TGTACAGATACACAGTAATATTCTCTCTCTCTCCAAATGCTCTTATTCACACACTTCATCTGGCTAACTCAGTTCTCAGTTTAAATGTCATTTCTTTAGTGATACTTTTCTTCTGATATTAATCTAAACTATGTCCCTTGTGTTATTCTTTCCCATAGCACCCTGATGGTTTCCTTTTTTTCTTTTCTTTTTTTTTTTTTTTTTTTAGGTGGAATTTCACTCTTGTTGCCCATGCTGGAGTGCAATGACATGATCTCAACTCACTGCAACCTCCGCCTCTCGGGTTCAAGTGATTCTCCTGCTTTGGTCTCCTGAGTAGCTGGGACTACTACAGGCATGCGCCACTATGCTCAGCTTCTTAAAATTTAATTTAATTTAATTTGATTTTATTTTATTTTAAGTAGATACTGGGTTTCACCATGTTGGCCAGGTTGGTTTCGAACTCCTGATCTCAGGTGATCCCCCCATCACCTTGGCCTTCCAAAGTGCTGAGCTACTACTGTGCCATGTTTCTTTGCCATATATATATATATATATATATTTTAGATGGAGTCTCACTCTGTTACCCAGGCTGGAGTGCAGTGGCACGATCTCAGCTCACAGCAACCTCTGCCTCCTGGTTTCAAGTGATTCTTGTGCCTCAGCCTCCCAAGTAGTTGGAATTACAGACATGCACCTCCATGCCCAGCTAATTTTTGTATTTTTCTTTTTTTTTTTCAGTAGAGACGGGGTTTCACCATGTTAGCCATGCTGGTCTCAAACCCCTGACCTCAGGTGATCCACCCACGTCAGCCTCCCAAAGTACTAAGATTACAGGTGTGAGCCACAGTGCCTGGCCTGGTTTCCTTATTATTTTCACTTGTCAAATGTGTATGTATGTATATTTGTGTGTGTGTGTGTGTGTGTGTTTTATGCTGTACATACATACATTTTTGTTTTTTTGATTTTTTGTCTTTGAGACAGAATCTCCCTCTGTCGCCCAGGCTGGAATGCAGTGACATGATCTCAGCTCACTGCAACCTCTGCCTCCCAGGTGCAAGCAATTCTCCTGTCTCAGCCTCCTGAGTAGCTGGGATTACAGGTACATGCCACCATGCCCAGCTAATTTCTGTATTTTTAGTAGAGAGGGAGTTTCACTATATTGGTGAGGCTGGTCTTGAGCTCCTGACCTCAGGTGATCCACCTACCTCGGCCTCCCAAAGTTGGGATTACAGGTGTGAACCACAGTGTCTGGCCTGGTTTCCTTATTATTTTCACTTGTCAAATGTGTATGTATGTATATTTGTGTGTGTGCGTTTTTTCTTTTGCTAGGTATTGATAAATGCTAAATCTTTTTTTTTTTTTAAGACGGAGTTTCGCTCTTGTTACCCAGGCTGGAGTGCAATGGCGCGATCTCGGCTCACCGCAACCTCCGCCTCCTGGGTTCAGGCAATTCTCCTGCCTCAGCCTCCTGAGTAGCTGGGACTACACGCACGCGCCACCATGCCCAGCTAATTTTTTTTTTGTAGTTTTAGTAGAGACGGGGTTTCACCATGTTGACCAGGATGGTCTTGATCTCTTGACCTTGTGATCCACCCGCCTCGGCCTCCCAAAGTGCTGGGATTACAGGCTTGAGCCACCGCGCCCGGCTGATAAATGCTAAATCTTGATAATTTTACACATCCAATAATTGGAATAATTTCCCACAGATTAGCTTTAGGTTCCCAAAATCTCAATCCTGCTTCTCTTCTACTGTCCACGTAGTGTCTTTTTTTTGAGACAGAGTCTAACTGTCACCCAGGCTGGAGTGCAGTGGTGAGATCTCGGCTCACTGCAGCCGCTGCCTCTCAGGTTCAAGCAATTCTCCTGCCTCAGCCTCCTGAGTAGCTGGGATTACAGGGATCCGCCACCACACCCAACTAATTTTTTGTACTTTTAGTAGAGACAGGGTTTCACTGTGTTGGCCAGGCTGGTCTCGAACTCCTGACCTCGTGATCCATCTTTGATGTTAGATTATTGGACACATTAAAATAACTTTAAGAGTTCTGGCCCTGCACCTTTGTTTTACAATGCTGGGTGGATTAGCACAATGGGTGATTGGAGTATTCTTGGAAGCCAACTGGGACAGCTGGCAATATCTTAACTACACATGGAAGTGACTGTGGGTTACAAAAATATATCCCAGTAAATTCAAACCAAATGTATTCCTAACTCAACTTCCCTTCAGCTAAATTTAAAAAATGCTTACTTTGCCACTTCAACACTAGACAAAGGGAAACATTGTGGAGGGAAGTCACTAAGGACTGAATATTGCAGTTTAAAATACTTTACTTTTACAAATTTTACAAAAGCATAGGACAGTGTGAACATATTACTAGAGACCCTTCCAGGGACTTGGAAAGGGCTAGTGCAAATGGGGGCCCCTGAAGTTGAAGCCTCCTTGGCTTCACAATAAATCTGCTTCAGGGTCTAGGGCCATTTTAATTACTGAGTAAACTGTCAACATTCAGAGCCAGCACTATGTAGGGCCAGTGAATATGTCAATTATAGCTCCATTTGAGGCAGGTTTTTTTTTTTTTTTTTTGAGATGGAGTCTGACTCTGTCCCAGGCTGGACTGCAATGGTGTGATCTCGGCTCACTGCAGCCTCTGCTTTCTGGGCTCAAATGATTCTCCTGCCTCAGCCTCCTGAGTAGCTGGGATTACAGGTGTGCGCCACAACGCCCAGCTCATTTTTGTATTTTTAGTAGAGATCAGGTTTCACCATGTTGGACAGGCTGTTCTTGAACTCCTGACCTCAGGTGATCCACCTGCCTCAAAGTGCTGGGATTACAGGCGTGTGCCACCACGCCCAGCTGAGAGATTTTCTAACAGGAAGACACCTTTTTCTCTTGTGTCAAAGGGCTCCCTTCTATTTATTTAGATTAGTGATTCTCAAACTCCTTTTTTTTCTTTTTCTCTTTTTTTTGAGACGGAGTCTCGATCTGTCACTAGTGTAGAGTGCAGTGGCGCAATCTTGGCTTACTGTAACCTCCGCTCCTGTGTTCAAGCGATTCTCCTGCCTTAGCCTCCCAAGTAGCTACAACTACAGGCAAGTGCCATCACTCCCAGCTATTTTTTGTATTTTTAGTAGAGATGGGTTTCACCGTGTTCGCCAGGATGGTCTCCATCTCTTGACCTTGTGATCTGTCCCCCTTGGCCTCCCAAGTGTTGGGATTACAGGTGTGAGCCACCATGCCCGACCTCTTTGGTTTTATGGTTACTTTACATGCCTAAAAAGTATTGAGGACTTCAAAAAGCTTTTTTGTGGATTATATTTATCAACATTTGCTATATTAGGAATTAAAGCAAACATGTAAAATATTTATTCATTTAAAACAACAATAATAAATCTGTTATATGTTAACATAACATTAATAATAATAATAATTATTATTATTATTTTGAGATGGAGTTTCACTCTTGTTACCCAGGCTGGAGTGCAATGGCACAATCTCAGCTCACCGCAACCTCCGCCTCCTGGGTTCAAGCAATTCTCCTGCCTCAGCCTCCCGAGTAGCTGGGACTACAGGCATGTGCCACCATGCCCAGCTAATTTTTGTATTTTTAGTAGAGACAAGGTTTCACCATGTTGACCAGGATGGTCTCGATCTCTTGACCTTGTGATCCACCCGCCCCGGCCTCCCAAAGTGCTGGGATTATAATAATTATTTTTTGAGATAGGTTCTGGCCATATTGCCCAGGCTGATTTTAAACTCGTGGGCTCAGGTGATCTTCCCACCTCAGCCTCCCGAAATTACAGGTGTGAGCATTTCACTTGGCCTAATAACATTTTTAATGAAAAATAACTGTTTTCCAAAGCAAAAAGAATTTAGTGAGAAGAGTGGCATTATTTTACATTTCTGCAAATCTCTTCAGTGTCTGGGCTAATAGAAGATTCTCATATCTGCATCTGCATTCAATCTGTTGCAATATCACAGGCATGTAGCCTCTGGAAGACCCCACTGTATTGTTATTGGAGTCAAAAAGGGAAATAAAGTCTTAGTATGAAAATAATTTTGACCTTGTGAATTCCCTGACTACACTTTCAGAACCATTGATTTAGACATCATTATATCTACTTTTTAGTTACTTAGTGCTCCCAAAGTACCCTCTCTGACTCTTTCTGTAGCTGTGTAATCAACCTCACCTCCTGCGTCCTGCATAAGAGTCAAATGTTAGTTATTGCTATACTTTTTAGCACACATGGAAAACTTTAGAAAGAACAATTCTTAATGAATAACAAGTCTTAGAAACACATTTTTGTCTTTCACTAACAAGGAAAAATTATCTCCATTGTATTATTCCTGATAGTACAGGGAGATATAGTTACTTTATGACTAAGGCAAATGTTAGACTGAGACCAAACACAATGTCGGGTGCCTTATATAAATTAATGTTACTGGAGAATCATGTCTGTGTGTGAGGCATGTGTTAAGTGCTTTACGTACATTATCTTATTTTATTCTCACAAGAATCTTACAAGATGGGTAGTACGGTCGTTCTTATTTTACAGATGAGTAAACGGATACGGAGAGGTTGTTAATGCCTAGTGTTACACACGACTGAGGTAGGATTATGAATTCAGATAGCCTGACCCCGAGCAGTCAGTCTGCTATCTACTGATAAGTTATAAATGTAGGAAGTAGAGCAAGATTAGCATAAAATGAGTGCTGAGATGTGAGAGGGAGTTTAGCAAAGCAAAAAGCCTTTAGGGACAAGACAACTGAGCTACCAAGATTGAATTTATATTATTTTCCACCCTAGAAAAATTCTGCTTTACTTTCCACACTCTCAGGTTCCTCTTCTAATTTTTAAGATATTTTACTGCTGGTGGCCTCGTCGCTTAGGCCTGACGCTGACGCTGAAATCAACAGGAGCGGGGCGGGGGGCGGGACGGGGGCGAACCTGTGGTAACCACAGTAACGGTGGCGGGGCGAGAACCCTGAGCAAGCGCGTTACATCCCAGGCCCGCTCGCCCACACCACGGCGGCCGGTCCCGGCCCCTCCTCTAGGCCTCAGACTCCACGGCCCGGCCACGGGTGGGGGCAAGAGGCCCGGGCTGGGCGCCTGCGCAGTCGCCGAGGCGCTGGTGTGATCGAGCTCACGTAGCGAGGGCTGCAGTCGCCTCCTCCCTGGCGCTGCCGGCGCGGCCTAGAGGTTATAAAAGGGCTAGCGGGCTCCCTCTGCTGACCAGTCGCGCCGCCAGCGGGCTGAGGGCCGGGGAGTAGACAGCTGCTCCGAGTGGAGGCGACAAGAGACTGAAGAGCGCGCCGCCCTGCCGTCCCACTTCCCAGGTGAGACGCTCCCTCGACCCCGCAGGCTGAGGCTGAGGCCACAGGCCAGCAGTGGTTCTTCTCGGACGGCTGCGGCGATCCGGTCCTCCCCGCTGTGGTGGGAACTGCTGGGGCGGGGATTCCCCAGGTTACCGCAGCAGCCTCGGTACCTTCCCTGCGGGAGTCTCGGCCCTTCGCCCTGCGCCACGCGACTCCCGGCGGCTCCCCTCCTTCTTGCCCCTCTTCCCGCCTCCGTCCCCTGGTGCGCCTCCGGCCCCTGGGGCTGCTGCAGCCTCAGTCCCCGCCCAGGGACCAAGACTTTCTTGAATTTTCCTTCCCGGGAGGAATCACCCTGTTGATTTTTTTTTTCCCCAAGTTCTCCCGCACCTGGTCCTCCCTAACGAGACAGAGGGGAACGCGAGCGCGGGGCGTGGGCTTTTGGCCGCCACAGCCGCAGATGGTTTGCATGTGACGGTGGAGAGAGGATTTTAAGGCTTGGAACTAAAGCCGAAGCGCGCCAGGCATTTTTGCCCTATTGAAAGTCGTCAGGAGCGGGGGGACCCCCCCCCCAGAAAGTTCCGGCTGAACTCATCTGTTGCGCGCTGCCGTGCTGCCTCAGCAGCTAGACGTAGCCCGGGGCGCCGAGTTTTGTGCTCCTTGCACCCAGGAAGTCGAGTCTTTGGTAACCTTGTCGTCAGGGAAGCTTCCTTCCCTCTTCTTCCCCAGAACTTGTTTTTAAAGAGACAAGAGCTCTTCTCTCAATCTCTGTCTCTGTGTCTGTCTCTTGTCATCGGAGAATTTGCAGCTTTTAAATGTCCACATCAGTCCAACAAATTCTATGGTTGTGTAAGGATTTTGAGTTGGATTATATGACTGGCCCCCGGATGTATGTTTCAATGGGGAGGAAGGATGGTATGATAAGTATGAGAAACTCTCTCTTAAATAATCGAGTCTGTTAAATACAAATTCAGTGTTTAGACACTAACATCTTACGCGTTCCGAATAGAGTGAAGACTTTTGGAATTTTGCGCTGTTTTCTTTAAGAAAGGTTTGAAGAAGCAGCTAGATCCTCTTTTAGGAATTGATTTAAAAGGCCAGAGAGACTTGCCAATTTCCACTTAACTGTTTCTGGTTTCTCCGAGAGCGGTGGTTCTTGGACTTTCCCTTGGAAGGCACTCGGAGGGGATGAAATAGCCACTACGTGGGGGCGGGGGAGGGGCAAAGACGTGGCAGCAGTGTTCTTTCATCAATTTTTTACTCTCTCTCTTTTTAAAGTTCTAGTTAGAGACATATTTCCCCTTTTAGGTTTAGATATAGCTTATGAATGAGGCTAGTCTTTTCCTAAAATAATCAGGTGAAAAATTCAGCCTGCATAGCAGGAACATTGGAAGTTAATTTAAAAAACAAGCGGATTTTTAAAATCAAGTTTCTATGGAGAAAATGGGTATCCTAAGAGGATATATTAAAGAAACTGAAAGTGAACAATCTCAAATATATTTTGTCTTGATTTGAAATGTGAATAGACACCCCTTGATTTCTTTTTCTTTTTTTTTTTTTTTTTTTGGCTTGTGAGTGTAATTTAAGAATCTTAAATATGAACTTCAAATTTTACTTCTTTCGTTATGTGAGCAGCATAGATTTTATAACTTACCTTTAATAATAGTTATGGTCAGTTTTGGTTTTGGGACATTGTGCCTTAAGTCCTGCCACTGTTTTTGATAGCTGATGGCAAATGCTTCTTAGATTTACATATACTAACTAGGAAAAGGACTACTTCTGTCTCTTTTAAATGGATAGTGCTGTTTTTATTGACATTTTCATGAGTTTTATTTTGAAGTACTGAAAACCAGGACTTTGGTAGGACTTTGGCCAGTTTGTATTTTGATGGTAAAACAGATGAAAAATATGTACAACTTCTAATTATGCCAAAAAAAAAAAAATAGATGGTGCAAAAGACTATAGAAAAAAAAAGTTATATAATGTCTGTGTAGTGAGGGTTGTTGCAGATGAATCTTGGCTTTTTGGCAAGGAGCCATTAACCTTTTCTATTGTTTAAGAGTAAGCTGTATACTGAAAAGCAGTATTTTTCAGTAGGGCAAAAAAGTTCAAAAGGCATTTATTCCGGGGATGAAGCAAGAGCTGGGACAGCCATAAACCTTGTGAGCCTGCCTTTCTGTGGAAGCAATGCTTTATTTTACTTAGCAACCAGTTATCACGTAGGATGTAATTATTGCTCTTGAATGTATCTATGAGATACATAATAGTGGTTCTCAAACTATTTTAAGGTCATGAACTCCTTTGAGAACCTGATGGAAGGTGTGGTCCTAGGTCAGAAAATGCAAATACACCCTACATGGAATTTTATGTGTCACTTCCTGCTCCTCATTCAAGTCCATCCATAAACTCTGTTGTAAGAACCCCTAAAAAGTAAAATAGATGTGAAGCTACTCTTTAAGAATATCTAGGCATCTTGAATATTTCTGAAAATTGAGCTGGGCGTATCTGATTGGACTCAGATGACCTTAATACATTTTTGCCCAAAGGGTTTTAACAAAAGTTAATAGGTTATTAGAATTGTTGAATTGCTAAATTGTCTAGTCTGTGAAAATATATCATATTGCATGCTCTGTCATATATGGTAACTTATCTTTGGTTCTCCATTCTGAAAGTGGAACAGGCTTGGAAGTAAACAAAAATGAATTGCACAGACCCTTGGCATTAAACTTTATTGCTTTTCTTGAAGTGAGATCTTGAATCTTGTAATTAAACAATAACGTGTTAAGTTTAAATATATGAATATAAGACAGACCAAATAAAATGAGTATATATGTGAAACTAGTTAAAGCTTTGTATTTCTACTCAACGAAATTTACTTGTGTAAATTGAAGCTGTCCTGTCATTAGTTTTTCTCTAGCCAAATAAGAATTGCACCTGGACCAGGTGCAGTGGCCCATGCCTGTAATCCCAGCACTTTGGGAGGCTGAGGTGGGTGGATTACGAGGTCAAGAAATTGAGGCCATCCTGGCCAAAATGGCAAAACCCCGTCTCTACTAAAATTTCAAAAATTAGCTGGGCATGGTGGCGCACCCCTTTAGTCACAGCTACTCGGGAGGCTGAGTCAGGAAAATTGCTGGAACCCGGAAGGCAGTGAGCCAAGATTATGCCATTGCACTCTAGCCTGGTGACAGAGCGAGACTACATCTCAAAAAACAAAAAAACAGCTGGGCATGGTGGCTCATGTAATCCAGCACTTTGGGAGGCTGAGGTGGGTGGATCACCTGATGTCAGGAGTTTGAGACCAGCCTGGCCAACATGGTGAAACCCCATCTCTACTAAAAATACAAAAAATTAGCCAGGTGTGGTGGCATGTGCCTGTAATCCCAGCTACTCTTGAGGCTGAGGCAGGAGAATTGCTTGAACCGGGGAGGCGGAGGTTGCAGTAAGCCAAGGTCGCACCATTGCACTCCAGCCTGGGCAACAAGAGCAAGTCTCTGTCTCAAAAAAAAAAAAATAAATAAAATAAAAAATAAAAAAATTGCACCTGAACAGAAGCTTAGGCAACTCAAAAGGACTCTCTTTTCGGTTAGATACAACAGCAGTTTTTAAACTTGATGTGACAAAAAACATTCTTTTTCCTGGTCTTCCTGTGGATGATGAGTATGACAGTATATTTGGTTCGACATTTGCTAAAAATACATTATATAGATTCGGACTTCTTACCAAACTGCCATCATTGGTGAGCGAGTACTATATTGGACTTCCTCTTCTTCCTGTTCAGTGTTTCATATAAATGTGTCCCTATGTTATTAGTTTGCTTATTTCTTATTTAAATAGTAATATTTAATGGAATTAGTACTCCACCTTTCTCCCTCTCTCTCCTTTTTTAAAGAGATAGGATCTTTCTCTGTTGCAGTGGCATGACCATAGTTCACTGCAGCCTGGAACTCCTGGGTTCAAGCAATCCTTCTGCCTCAGCCTCCTGGTGTAGCTGGGAGTACAGTTGCATGCTACCATGCCTAGCTAATTCTTAAATTTTTTGTAGAGATAGGGTCTTGCTCTGTTGACCAGGCTAGTTTCGAACTCCTGGCCTGAAGTGATCCTCCCACCTCAGCCCCACAAAGTGAGCCACCTTGCCTGGTCATCCTTGCTTTCTTGTTGGACACTTGAGCTGTTTCACCATTGTAAGTACTGCAAAGAGAGGACTGTAATTTAGTGGTTGATTTTATCAACCTGTATAACTACAATAAACTTTAACCAATTTTAAAATTTATATTTAAAATTTTTTTTTAGAGACAAGGTCTTACTATGTTGCCCAGGCATGGTGGCTCATGCCTGTAATCTCAGCACTTTGGAAGGCTGAGGCGGGAGGATCATTTGAGGCCAGGAGTTCAAGACCAGCCTGGTCAGCATAGTGAGACCCCATCTCTCTACAAAAAAAATTTTTTTTAATTAGTGGAGCATGGTTGCATGCATCTATAGTCTAACTACTTGGGAGGCTGAGGCGGGAGGATTGTTTGAGCTCAGGAGTTGGGTTCAAGTAGTTACAATATGCCCAGTAGACTAGAGGAGAATCAAGAGTGATGAGAAATGTTTCATAGAAGTAGGACATAAAAATTACATGATATACCACCATGTTGCTAACATTTTACTGGCTATTAAATCTGTAAGCACTGAATGGAAATGCATGTCTAGATTCACATCCTCTACAACCATGAATTCATTTTTCCCTGTTGTAGTGTATATAGTCTTATTTTGTCCATCTTTGCCTCAACTTGAGAACTTTGGATCTGGCATTAGACTAAAGAGAGAATTGAAGGCTAGAAAGATAAGAGGTAGACTGGGGTAAATAAAAGTGGAATTGTGGCAGAATAGTCTTTGGAGGGATGAAGTTGAGTATACTTGGGCCTCAGAGCAATAATCGATTTGTTAGGAGGAAAGGGACTGCTAAAGCCAGTTTTAAGTATTCTACTCTGACCTGAGTGGCCTTGGTTTAATAGTGTATATTCAGACATAAGAGTATA